CCACAAAGGGTGATCGGCCAACAACCGGGTGGCAGCATCTTTAGGTTAGTTAGTTATGCATTTAAAATCATTAAATAGAACTTGAGTGTAAAGCAAAAACAAATCGTCAAAGTTTACGAAAATCCTACACGAGGGTCAGGCATTCAGATAGTGTAGGAGGCGAAAATTATAATAACAATCGACTAACGAAGTAATCTTCTTGTTACTATTATGTACGCACACTCAGCAGAGATACCCGCCCTGTGGATACAACCTATGTAATCCCTCCAAAGGATGAGGCACTCTTCATGAAACACTAATCACTTTCTTCAATTTTACATCTTACGTAAAGGAGTTGAACAGAGTTCCCAGTGACAGTGTTGCTATTAGTGATAACCACTTGCTTCCGTGATGAATTAGCTAGCATTGCATATTTAGGTTTTGTGTTGTATTAGCTAACGGTGAATTACTATATAAATGTATTAGCTAACATTGTATTTATAAGAGATTGATTCGTACGATCTAGTCGTGCTCGCTGCTTTTTTTCAGTCACATTTCTTTGTCATAGCCCTACCATCCCTCCCATGTAATGCTATTTCCCCCTGAAAGTACAGTAAATAAATAAATAATAAACAAATAAATAAATTAGCATCTTAAACATACCATCACAATTAAATGCAGAAGGGCAGTACGTAGCTCTACAGCTACCCTGGACATCACAAAACCGCATGATAGTGTCGAACATAGTGTACTAGTCAGCCGTCTGAGAGAAATCAATTTGCCGGATTATTTAGAAGCGTGGATTACGGAATCTTTAGGAAATAGAAAATCTTACTCTTCGCAAGATGGTGTTTCGTTACGTCCTTATAAACAGAAACAAGGAGTTCCCCAGGGCGCTGTTCTGTACTCGGTACTTTTCAATATTTTGATAAGCTCGATCCCATGTAATGAGAGTGTTCAGATGTATGTCTATGCTGATGATATAGAGTTCTTTTTGTCAGCTCATAACATTCACGCTCTTTATCAAAAACTCCAACCGTACTTATCGGAAATAGAACACTGGCTTGACGTTATTCATCTTTCTCTGAACGTGAACAAGTGTAAATCATTAGTATTTCCTATAAAAGACGAAGTACACACATCGCTCTCTTACAAAACTGATACCTTTCAACAAGTTCAAACCTTTAAATATATAGGAGTGATATACGACAGCTCTCTAGTGTGGCGAAACCACGTTGAATATATTGCGGAAAAGGGTGTATCGGGCAGTCGGCTTATTACGAAGGATAAGCAACAGAGCCACGTTATTATCAATATACCGCATGTATGTGAGGCCGGTTGTAGTGCTTTGTATGTGTCTTATACTCCAGGGTACCTGCTTATAACTAAGCTGCGTCCGTTTGTTCTTCTGAAGAAGTAAGCACTGCGCATGTGCTTAGGGCTACCTAAATTTGTAGCGAATAATGTTTTATATATGGAAGCTAAAATTCCCTCACTCCTCATCGGATTCATAATTAGTGGCTGTGCAAACGTACTTAAAGGGCATTTGAATCTCCTTTAAGCCGTAAAAAAGCAGTTTTCATTGCGCAAGCTAGTTTATTTTTTGATTGTCATTAGCCCAGATTTCACACACCTCAAGTAAAGTTTGTACAGTCTCTTCTCGAATCCATTCGGCGCAAATTAGGGAGGTTCTTACCATTTGTAGCTTCACAAATCCTCTTTGAATATACTTTGATGACATTTTATCTAATAGTGCTAAACGCCTACCAAATAATATGTTAAGAGCTACTTTGTAGGACAACCTGCTAGGAATGCAAGCACGGATCAACATTGCGACGGACGGTTCCCAGAAAGATGAAGAGTGGCATCGGTATATTCTGCCCTGCTCTAGACTGCTACTTTTCGCCCCGAATTACAGATTTGACACCTATTTTCCTTGCAGAATTTTTAGCTGTAGTACTGGCGCTTCCAAACCTGCCAACATGAATAAAATCCAACCTAATAATAACAGACTCTTTGTCGGTCTGCAGTGAGCTCACGGCATCCGCTGATTCGAAAGCATTAAGCAAATTCAACTCCTTAGTACTGAATCACTTAACTCTGGTGCGATTAGTATGGGTGCCTAGGCATAGAGGCATAACTCTAAATGAAACAGCTGATGCACTTGCGAAAGTAGCGTTAGACGGACCAGCTATCAGTATTACCCCTACAACAGCCTTTATAGTAGCGTCTAGATTTCAGAGGCAAATGATATTGCGAGAATTCTCTACACCATCTTTAATACATTCTCCGAACTTCAACCATCTAATGACACCCTGGCAAACTTCCTCATGTCATAACCGATACAAGGAAGTTTTAATCATTCGATTGCGCTGTCGTATTCCTTCATTAAATTTTTACTTGTTTAGAGCAGGCTTGACTCCCTCCCCGCTGTGTTCTTTTTGTGGAGAAGAGAAAGCTGTGGAACACTTTTTGATCTCTTGAAGAAAGTTTTCATCATTAAGAATGGTATCACTAGAAATCCCATTACCAATCCTTGGATTAGCTTTGACAACGTCAACTTTACTATCCCAAGGTGCATATACCCTATAGGGCACAGCAACGGGAAAGTGTGCGAGACCATGCAAGATTTTCATTGTACAGTCGAAGATATTTACTCAATACCCTAAATTACAAAAGGTTCTGAGTTAGACTGCTGTAGACTACTGAAAAATTTTCTTTGATATCAATCATTAATTGCTCCTTTGGTAGGAACTAATTCATCAAACTTTTTTTTTGGTCAGGAAGAATTTACAAAAATCAATACTTCTGTTAATATTCTTTTGCCTAGTATTTGACAATGACAATGACAATGACTTTATTTTCGCATCAATACAATGAATAATACGGCGGGGCGGGTGGAAAAAGCTGTCGTTTGGACAGCTTGACAAGGCCACTGGCCCCCTCGTGGGCGCTTAACAGCAGTGATGCAACAACAAGCAACCAACATAAATCAGCATTATATAATACAAGACATATGAAAAAAAACAATAATGTCTAAGTATACAAAGTTGCAATCTTTTGCAGAGACATAGAAAAAGAAGAAGAAAACTACCGCATTACAATAACGTTCTTCCTACGTGACCTTAATTATTCGTGCGCGCGAGATTTAGAAATGAGAGGCATCAGAAGAATGCTTTTAAAGAATTATTTGCCTTGAGTTCGAAATAACTGTGTATGGCTTTAAAATACATGTTCCCTAATTGTTGCCCTTCACAAATTAATCTGTTCAATAATCTTGGTAAGTTGTTTCCGAGTGTTTGTTTTCCATATATTGTTCGCACTGTCGGTATTTTCCAGTACTCCCTTTTACGTGTTGCATATACAGGGGTGTTTTCTTGTAACCTGGAAAGGCGCTTAAGAAAATCCGATCTGGTTTTTAACTCTTGCTTATACGCCTTACACAAACGGTAATCATATAGTGTTGTGGCTGGAAGTATTCTATACTTTAAGAAATACTCACGTGTGTGGAAATGTCTTGAGACATTTTCAATTGTGCGTAAGAACTTATTTTTAGTAGTACGTGTATTCTGTGTAGATTTCCTTGTGTAGTGGTGCCCCAAACTAAATGACAATAGTTCAGTCTGGATTGAAACAAACTGTTGAAAATTAGCATCATAATGTTCTGTGACAGTATATGACGATTGCGGTAAACAATACTAGTCACTTGAGAGAGCTTTGTTACTAGGCAATCGACATGTGCATCCTAGCCTAACGTTTCCTGAAAGACTGATGCCTAATGTTTTAAAACTGGAATACGAGGGCGATAGGTGAGGAGTTGACTGTTAAAGTTTTATTAACTATATTTTTTTTATTTTCACTGCGAAATAACATTGGTTTTGTTTCATTTGTATTTAATTTGAAACTGTTTTGAGATGACCATTCGCCTAACTTTTGTAAGGTTAAGTGGGCTTCATCTATTAACTCATCAGCCGAATTCCCTATTAAAAGATGATAGTATCATCAGCGTAAATTATAAGTTTTGCCTGAAGGTTTATGGCAATAATATCATTAATATAGACGTTAAAAAGGAATGGGCCTAAGATACTGCCTTGTAACTGTTACTAAAATACTGCCTAAGATACTGCCTATATATAGACATTCCTTTTGGTTAACCTACCCGATTCTCGGCCAATACCCTACGGTGGGTGTGAGCCACAAGTTTAGGATCTACATCTACATCTATATCTACAAATATTCAGCAGAAGCCTATAGACTGTAGATCTAATAAGCCCAAATCCCAAAGACCACTGATGAAATAATGGTCAGAAAATGAGGTAAATAAAAACACACTTGATCAATATGAAAGTTTCGTTAAAGTGGTAGAAGGCAGCTCGTGAACAGAGGGTACTGACAGCGGGCGACCGATGTATTGTAAAAATATCAATTTAGCATGACTAATACCATTTAATGTTAGAGGTGTTTGAACGCACCTTTGTAGGAAAGCAGACGTTGCACGGAATGCCAACAAACACAGCGCTCCACTTCACATCCAATTTAGACCGCACAGCGAGTGCTAGAAATTTTAATTCAACAGGGTTTATTGACTCAGTGTTTTAATTGAACATGGTGGATTATTTATTAGATTGCAGTGCTATATTCACACGTACATCGACCTTATTTGTGAAAGAAGCTTTGTGATGCCTCCTAAAATGTAAGTATTTTCTCGTTTCCTGCTCGCAGTACTTGATATGCCGAATAATAACCTTCTGAACAAATTAAAAAACAAACGCTTGTTATTCCGGCTTCAAAACAGATGTCCGGCTACCTTTTTTCCCGCCGTTGTGACTGCCAGATGAAATTGCAACTTGCAATTGCAAATGCAAAATTTTCAACTAAGATCCTAATTACGTTCGTCCGACACGGGGCAACTGCTCTACCTTAAGTGAGGTAACAATTTGCTAAAGTGTTCGCACATGCCTCTTAAGGCCTTGCGCACGTCACTTAAGCGTTGTGACAAGGCCAGCATTCACCAAAGCGTCACCTCGTTGCAACGTCTCCTCATTCACACTGTACGGAGGAAGGTGTTGTTTATCTTCTTCGTAAGTTTGCGATATTTTATTTCGATATGTGGAGTGATATCGCTGGCGTGACTGCGTTTCCTCACAGTCTCTCACACAGTCTTCTCGCATAGTTTTTCTCACAAGTTCTTCTGTAATAATTTTCGTGACTGATTGACATGTAAGGTTTAAAGTCCCAGAACCACCATACGATCATGAGAGACGCCGTAGTGGAAAGGTCCCGGATATTTTGACCACCTCAGCTTCTTTAAAGTGCACTCAAATCTGAGCCCACGGGCCTACAGTATTCTCACCTCCATCGAAAATGCAGCTGCCGCCACCCGGATTCGATCCCGCGACTTGCAGGTCAGCAGCCGAGTACCTTAGCCACTTGCCCACACTGATGGAACTTCATTTTTTGGTGATTCAGAAAACTAGCGTTATATACTTCGCCGTCCTTATTATCTTCAACAATAGACAAGGCCACTCACGAGAAGGACGTGCCTAATATGAGAAAACGTAACACAATATTCAAGTCCTACGAAAAGTTTCAAAAACAAGCAGGGCAGTGCATAGTCGCATTACCTGGCGTTAGAAAACACTCTAAGTCATTATGATATATGGTGTTTACGTCCCAAAACCATGATGCGAAAATGAAAGACGCCGGAGAGAAGGATATCAAAAATTTCTACCACTTGGTGTTCTTCAAAGTGCACAGACTTCACACAGTATAGATCGAAACTGCGACGTTGGGGCCAGCATACGAGCACCATAAGCATTGTTTCGTAATGTGAAATCTCTACCTTCAACGGCTACGAAAACATAGGTTGATGTATTCGTTCAGGTCATCCACTATTGTTATGTAATGTGTTTAAACCTCTCACTATAGGCTACAACCTGGGATTGCGCTTACATTTCGCCATTCTGGAACCACCAACCTCGACCAGCAAGAGTTAGTTTCAACCGAAAGCCAGAGCGCCGTAACTGGTACTGCTCAGAAAAATGTGTGTGGGACGCATGGGTTGCAGTCGAACTCCCGCATGAAGTGTCCGGCTGTACTTGGCTGATGAAAAACTGATATGAGACGTGAAAGTCTCTAAGAACTAACATGTCCGTACAACCTCAGTTGATGAGAGTTTTTGTACTGATTTCTGCGCGTTCTTTTCTGGATCACCGCGAGTCTTCGTAAAGCTTCAGGAAGTGCACTTATGTTGAGCCTGTTGCATCAATTAATTTCCTGATTTCACACAATGTTTGGGGACGACAAGGACTTCAACAATTACAGCCCGATGAGCTTGCTCGCTGTGGTATATAGTCTATTACATAGGTAATTACTAACAGAATCAGGATAATAATAAATTCTATCAAACGAAGAAACACGAAGGACTTCGAACAGGTTACTGAACAATCGACCACATTCATACTATCAATAAGTATTAGAGAAATTCTCAGAATGCAGCCAACCACCATACGTAGCTTTCATAGAGTACGAAAAGGCATTTGATTCAGTAGATATGTCAGCAGTCATGTAGACACGGCGTAATCAGGGCATGACAATAGTTATAGCGCGAGAACAAAACGACGACACAGAGACAAGACGGACACGAAAGACACGAGTCTTTCTTCTGCCGAGAAATCGGCAGAAGATTATCTGCCCCCATCGTGCTCCATAAGGAAAGCTACAGAATACCAATAAAAAATGGTGTAAGATAAGGGGATAGAATCTACCCAATGCTATTTACCGAGTGCTTACAAGAGGTTTCCAGAGGCCTAAAATGGAAAGAGTTCGGGAAAAGAGTTAGATAGTACCACAGTAATCATCATCATCATCATATTTTATTTCCTTAAAGACCCCACAAGGGGGTATTACATAAGGGGTGGATGTACAGGATATAAAAAACATTTGCCACATAAGGGGCTGGTATACAGGATATAAAACTTTTGCTACATTCAAAATATAAAATATGCTACATAGGTGTGGGTATATACATTGCCATAAAGTTTCACTGACAGAGATGAGTTATTACATTTTTAGCGAAAGTTGATGGGCAGGTGATTGTGACGACGCGCTTCGCCGATGCGCTTCGATGAATCTGCGCTTCGCCGATGGCATTGCATTTCTGAGTAACTCGGGGGACGAATTGCAATTCTCGATTATTAGATTAGACAAGGAGAGCAGAAAGGTAAGTCACAAAATTAATTAACAGAAAACAAAAGTAATGTACAACAACCTCCGAAGAGAACAACGCTTCGATATAGGTAGCAGTGCACTTGAATTTGTGAATGGATATGTCTACTTAGGACAGGTAGTAACCGCGAAGCCGAACCACAAGATTGAAATGACCAGAAGAATACGAATAAGGTGGAGCACATTCGGCAAGCATTCTCCAATAATGACTGGTAGATGGCCACTATTTCTCAGGAGGAGGATATATAACAGTTGTATCTTGCTGGTACTTACCAACGGAGCAGAAAACTGAAGGCTTACAAAGAGGATTAAGCTTGAATTGAGGACGAGCAGGGAGTGATGGAAAGGAAAATGATACGTGTAGCCTTAAGAGCAAGAAGAGGGCAAAGTGGATCAGGGAACAACCCAAGGTTAAGGACATCATGGTTGAAACCAAGAAGAAGAAATGGACATGAGCCGGTAACGTAGCGCAGAGGCATAATAACCGCTTGTCATGAAGGGTAACTGTCCGGATCCCCAGAGAAAGCCAGTGGGTTAGGGGGAGACGGACAGTTAGGTGGGTAAATTAGATTATGAAGTTTGTGAGTCTAAAGTGGCAGCAGCAAGCATAGCACCAACTTTATTGGAGGAACATGGGAGAGGCCTTTGTCCTGCAGCGGAAGTAGTCTGGCTGATGATGATGATGATGATGATGATGATGATGATGATGATGATGATGATGATGATGATGATGATGATGATGATTATGATGACACAATGTGTGTGATTCGCGGTGGCTTTGCAAAGGTGGTCCAGCGGAGCGCTTCTGAATAGCAAGCTATCCAGGGACCGTACTCCAAATGATTTCTCTTAGGTTGCATTTTTTGCAGGGCACGGAATGGTGCTCACGAAGCTGACTTCAGAGCATACCACGTTAGTCGAAAGTTAGCGCTCATCTATTTCTTTCTTGTTCTGTTTTTTGTGCGCGATAAAGCCGTTATAATATGTATATCATGTCACTTCCTAACTGAGGTGACATATTTCCACGAGCATCTCATTGATGGAAAGCTACAGTAGCAGCCTAAATCAGCCTTGATAGAAAGGTATAGTAGCAGCCTAAATTGGCCTACCTTGCTTATCAGTTGCCAACCAAACTACCCAGTCCTAATTTCCTTACCAGTTTCTGCATCTTCCAGGTTTATCCTGACATCAGTACACCTGTGAACATTCACGAAAATGCCTACCCAAGCTGGCGCTCCCAGTGGCACTTCTACAATTGTGGATGATCCCACGGACCATTGCAATAGGCCAAACGGCAACAACGTACGTTTCTGTGTTCCGGAGTACGCGAAACACCATAAAATACAGCGCAAGTACAACAAATTCGTCCTCGACTTTTGCCAACTGGCCTTCAGCGCAGAGCCAGACCCATCGCAACAGTTCCTCGACGTAGGCTGTGGCACAGGTGACTTCACCCGGGACGTCTTGATGCCTCAGTGCCTTCCCTGTCGGAGAATCGTGGGCGTCGACTGCTCCCGAGAAATGGTCGAGTACGCTAGACGCAACTCGGCCCACGAGAAGATTGGCTTCGAAGTACTCGACATCTGCGGTGACGTCACGCAGTTTCTAGAAGAGTTCGGTCAGTTTGAAAGAGTATACTCTTTCTTCTGTCTTCACTGGGTGAGTGACATCAGCGCAGCGTTCAAGAACATCGGCAGGCTTATGTCGTCTACGGGCGAATGTCTCCTCGTGTTTTTCGCAGCCCACCAGCCGGCGGAACTTTGGAAGGTTGCTGCGAGAATGGAACCGTGGGCAAAGTACTCGGAGGTATGCTTGAAAAAAAAAGAGAGGCAATACGCACGGCTAGTCATTGAGATATTTAAAACAGCTCACGTGAATTCGGTGTCAAGACACAGTTCACGTAGACCAAAGCAAATACCTAGCTCTGGTGGTGATAGATGGCTGGCAAACAAATCGTCTTGTCAAGCAGACAGAAGTAGAAGTCCATTGGTGTGATTCAACACTTTGAATTAGGCGCATTGTGTAACTTTCAAGGCTTTCAAGGATCTAGAGCACGGTTGCGGAATTTTTTGCCACGAACATTTAGAAAAATGTTCCAAGTCGCAAAAGTTGTTACGACCAGAGACAACTAGAATGACAGGGCCACAACTCATTTTACCACGCTTTCAGATACATCGTACAAATTGTGTGTAAAATGTACAAAAATATGATGCCACGATAAAATAATTCAAGAAACATCAGGGTTCAGTATAGATGTCTTTCCATAACAACGAGTTCCAAGGACAGCGACATTGACCTCTAATATTTTGAGAGACCTTCTTTGATGTTTTAAAATAGACAGTTTAAAATCCCTCGAAGCCTCCAAGCAGTCCGTAAAACAAGTTCATTGATTAATGGTCTACTGATAAGTTTATAACATAGAAACTAGATCTTGTTGAAATACTCGACCATTTAAAGACGTAAAGTCATACTATAAGCTGAAAATTAATAATATAAATTCGACAGCTAAGCAATTTAATTCAAGTTACATTAAACGCAGGCTAATAAACCTAAAAGGATGAGGAAATGATAGCCTTAGGGACTACGTAATATAGCACAACCAAAACTCTTTTCGCAAACGCACTTTGTACGCATAAGTTTAATAAAGGAAAGTAGGGAAATACCTACGATAATGTAGCCGGGGTAGAAACTCAATTTAAATTTCTTTTTCTAATTTGTGGACGGTGACTGCACTTAGGATACCATAAATATTAGGTGTGACATACCTTTTCGATGCTTTAATTGACCAGTATTGCTGCTTGTTTCTTTCCCTTATCAGACGCTGCTGAAGTTCATTCCGAAAACGCAAGATATGAAGAAAATGGATATGTTGCGACTTCTCTTCAGACTTCTGCAAGAGGCCGAACTTTTCCCGACCATTATGGAAGCCCTAACATCGACAGTGTTCGATGGATGGAGTGAAGAAGAAATCATAGGTAAGGACTTCATTGGACCACATTATTGCGGCAAGAACACACTTAAACGCAGGAAATGAAAATTGCATGGCTCCTTCGGTTACTTTAAATAATTGTTCCAGAGTGTAGCTGAAGCTTGGTATTAAGGAAGAAAATTTTCTAAAACTCCTAAAAGCAGTAATAATTACTTGGGATTTGAGGCATCCTTTTCAAGTGTATCAAAAATGAGTACTGCGTTAGCCCGTCAGGTGTAAGTTTGATGAAACAGAAACTGCTGACCGCAATTATTCCGAATCCCTGCAAATGAATATTCATGTTTGGGAGCTTTCCCAAAGACTTGCGAGTAGAACCAGCGTCTTGGTCACCGTGACTTGTTTTTGCCCACGTCTTGCCTTTTGTTTGTGCATGCTTCGTTGAGGAAGTATGAAAGGCCTGGTATTGCACTTTCTGCACTATAGTAAAGACGGCCGAGGTAAACTTTTGCCTTCTTTGGTACGATTACTAACATTTTAGATTGTCGTACACCTGAGGATTTACCTCGTAAATATTGTTGATAGCACACAAAGAAACTCCTACAAATGACAAAGAGAAACATACATCGCGCCATATGGAGTTTGTCAAGGCTCGCCTTATGGTGGGAAAGAACTTACTGTCAATCATTTTGACAGAAAGTTGCCACAGAATGGAGGTAGGCACTGCTGTGTCAGATACAATGGATATAGAAGTATCATCGCAACTTGGATGGAATTGAAACATAAGCAAGGGGGCGGTAGAACTAAATTAGACTCTTTTCAATATGGCTGCCACCGAGCACGCGTCCGTGTTTTTCAAGAATCACTATCAGTGCTCCCATCGAACGTTCGTGACATCACCCAGCACCCAATCAAGATATCAACAGAAAATGATTCTGAAGGTCATCGCTCTCTTAAATTTCAATATATGGTCTAACACGAAAGTAAAACGTGCCGTTAGGGGAGTATAGCTTAAGGTCTTGTGTACATTGTAAAGGGACATGAAAGTCAACTATTAAGTCGACGTTGATTGCTGAAACGATGGTCCAGGGACCTCGTAGTATTATTTTTATGCCAAGGAAGGGCTTATTTTGAGATAAAATCATGTTTTAGTGCTCCGCATCGGGTTACCACGCTTCAAATTACCCGCCTCAAGAAGCGGACCAACTGGTCCGTCTCACGTCACTGTTGCCATGCTCAACGTTGCCCGGCTTTACTGCGCTGGTAGCAGCAGACTGAAAGCAGCGGGATCCACAGCAGCAACAACGGCCATCGATGAATTTCCCGCCATTGGCTTTGAGATCGCAGACGCTTTTGTTTCAACTACGCCCCGCTAAATGGCACCACCTGTCTTGTATAACCACGCGAAAATTAAACTATCGTACCACTCACGCCATTCCCCATAGTAACGTCCAGCTATTCTTTTTTCCATGAATCAAACATAAATGAACAAGGGGCATTTTATTGCGTCTCTTAAGGCACGGACGTTCTTTATCTAGTGCAGTTAGATGGACCTATAGTGATTGATTGCAGGCGGTCCGTCTGATGTCATCGGGATTATTTTGAAAATATCCTACTGCAGCGCTTGTGTTTCTGTGCATTTACTTCAATTTCTCGGTAAGTAGGGGTCTGTTGTGATGATGTTGTCATTGTAGATGTTGTCATATTGAGCTTTCATTGTGTCATTGAGCTTTTACTCTGACGTAAATTGTTGTTCGACTTTAGTGTCCCTTTAAGGTCATCCCGCTCTTCGATATCATATGACCTAACATGAAAGTAAAACATGGCTTTAATGAAGTATAGTTTAATATCTTGTGTACATTGATGTAAGAGGCACCATGTCCCTTGACTGCTATAGCATCCTTTAAACTGGACGCATCCTCGTTGGCGCTTAGTGATGCATATTCACCCCAACTACTTACGTCCATGAACAATGAATAAACATTTCGTTCTTGTAATATGTGCATGTGGTAGCTGTGGTAGTGAACGGTGACAGTGAAGTCAGAGGCTGCGCGATGACAGCCAGAAGAGCGTGTACGCCATACTTGCGCTAAGGTCGCCTAATCGCGGCATGTTGTAGAGTTATTGAACACCACTTCCCGGTAAGAGGGAAACGCGACACTCGTCGGGTCTTCTCTGTTGGCCAGCAGTAATTTTTCACGCGGTCGGCGTAAGCGGGAAGCGTAGTGTTACAGCCAGCTGAAGCATGTGCACGTCGCTAAGCTATATTTGGTGTGAGTAGATGCTATGCGCGAGGCTGACGCAGGAGCTAACCTGTCCCTGCGGTGGTGCGTCGACAAAATTTAACTACTTATACTCAAAATGCACCGAATGACAGGTGCGTGAAAAAAAAAAACTCGTCTAAAGAGGTAGTCGCGGATGTCATGGTTACTTCGCTTTACTGGGGTCACTCTGAAAATGACTGTGTTAGAATAAAATGCGCGTTTGAAAAGCCTTTCTAGTGGTCCTCATGGGTATTGCGTAAAGCAAGTTGATGGAGGACTTCGGTGCTGGTGTTATGAGGAAGACATATAGCACTTGTTCGTAAACTCTCCTAATTAAACTGCTGAGTTTTGACTTTTCTGCAGTGAACCATCGCTGGTACGCCGCCGTATTGGTGATGCGGCTTAGAACGAATGATTGCATCACACGGATGATGCTAGCCTTTTCATACCTTTGTGTTTATTGGTAATGCACCTAATGAGGCGCATCGTGTTAGAAACTCTGACTTCAATGTTGCGAACTGTCTCTCCGTTGGTACCCTTACTTTCTATGATCAGGCCTAGCACTCGGATTTTATCCATGGTTGACATGACGTGGCCGTCGCTTGTAGTGAGTTTTATGTCGGCGTCTGTCTGCGCTTGGGGATGCTGTTTGGGTGGCCTATCTCTGAGTGTAGGGCGATATAGCAGTAGCTCAGATTTCTCCGCCGAGCAGGATAGTCTAGTTCCTTGTGAATACCGTTCCACTGTATCAATCCCCTGCTGTAATCTCTGTTCAATGGAACCATCACTGCCGCCACACACCCAGAGGGTGATGTCGTCGGCATAAACTGTGTGTTAAAGTCCTTGGGCGGTTTTAGTTTTCCACGGAAGACGAATAAGGGTGAGATTAAACAACAAGGGAGAGATCACGGAACCCTACGGGATGCTCGTGCTTCCCATGGTTATTTCGGACGACCTTGAGTGCTCCCACAATGATTGTGGCCGTTCTGCACGCAATAAATGCTCTTATACAGTTGTACGTGCGAAGCCCCAAGTTTCGGGTGTTGACCTGATTTATAATGGGGCTATGCGTGACAGTGTCAAAAGCCTTCTTGAGATTTAGACTAAGTATGCCCTTAGTGGAGCATGCTGTAATATTATGTGACGCTTGAGCTCCACATGGCACCCTGCGTGGAAAGATGCCTGCGGAAGCCGATCATGGTGTGTGGGAAAAACTTATACTCTTCGAGGTAATTTGTTAGTCTAGCCAGGAAAGCGTGTTCCATCAATTTGCCTATACTAGATGTTAAAGATATGGACCTAAGATTGTCACTATTCAGTGGTTTGCCTGGTTTCGGAATCATAATCACCTGGGCCTTTTTCCACTGAGGGGGCAAATAATGCCGGTGTTCTAGCAGTTATAATGTAGTCTGTGATGTCGACTCATCGTCAAAATTACTTATTATCTTGTTCGTGAAGATGTCAGGACCTGGTGCAGATTTGGTGTCAAGTTTCTGTAGGGTGGCACGGATATCCGCTTCTGTGAACTCTTCGTCTAGAGTGGTGTTGACCTGGCCCGTATGATCTGGATGCTTCTGAGTAGGAGCCGGAGAGATGTATTTGATATCCGCTTCGGT